AACAATTTAAACATCAATTTTCCAGGGAGCTATGGACTTTTCTTCTTGTGGAGGCAAAGCAGGTTAACCACATGCTGGTTGAAGATGGTCAGAACCAAGTCCTCTGTTCACAGAAGGCTGGAAGGGCAGCAAATGGCACACCTACATGGTACTTTACAAACGGTGCTGAGCCCCAGCTATTAAGTCCTACCAAGGGACAGGGAGTGTTAGTTTGTTCTCAGCACCATGGTAATGAAGTTGCCTGTTTTTCAGCCATCTTGAAGAGAAAGCTGACATAGTTCTCTTCTGCTGACAAAGGCTATATAGGCATCTCTAGAGCTGCCTCCTGAACTAGCCACCCACACCAGTGCCATGGGCATATTAGATGTCCAGAAGAGCCATAAGGTAACAAGTATTCTTCTTCATTTTAGGAATTCACAACACAGAGACACACCAGAGAAATGCTTTAAAGTAACACAGTACTGACTGTGGTCCTCCTTTTCTCAAGCGTAACTAGGTCACCACAGTTTACTTCATGAGCGCATTTTCCTACCTCTGCTTTGTGTTGCCTGGCTGTCATCTCCGAGATCATCTTCTCCTCCATAGGTTCGAATGGGGGATCGGGCATAGGAATGCTTTTGGATAAGGCTCTCCACGCTTTCTCTGTGAAAGGCAACATCATACCATATCAATAACATCCTAAACAGCCTCCTAATTCATTAGGTTAAATACAATGAACGTGCTGCCTTTTCCCTGTCCAGATCACAGCTTTCTCACATGGACTCTCCAAAATTACTTAACAAAAGGGTTACCTCATAGCATGTCACTGGAAGTGATGAACTTGGCCTGCAGTGTTTTAGCATTGCTGATCACCTCTTACCTGTGTGGTACTGCTTCTTCAGCAGTCAAAGGAGAGTGAAATTCCCACTGCGTTTCCTGGATGTGGTCTCAGACAGGGAATATAAGACCAGCACTCTTCACAAATTTGAAAATGCAAGCTCTGGGGTTATACATGCTGAGTGACCAATCTGCGTTCAAAGAGACACTTGTGGTCCAGCTCCTCTCAAGCAAGCTTTCACATCACACCTGACCACCTCATCTGGCATTCTCCCATTTTTCTGAAATCAGGGGCAAGAGATAGATGTGTCCAGACACAGCTCAGTTCTAACCATGCTCTCTCAGCATCAGTTGAGGCCAGTTCATAGCAGGAAGTCTGCAGATACTACTGATCTCGTGCCACGTCTATTCTGGGAGGTTAGATGTGTCTGCCAGGTCCCCGCCTCACTGGTGGCACAAAGCACTGAAGTCACCCAAACAATTTTTAAATAGAAGGAAGGCATATCTGTATGATAAGCCATAGCAGTTTGTAAGGAAGATCCAACCTTACACATTCCCAGCGCGTTTCCATGTAAGTAGGTGGCATTATACCAAAGATGAATATGACCTAGGCACGTTTCCCAAATGGCTTTGACCTTCTGTTCCCATTTAAGAAATCTAGGTAGCAATAACTGTTCAAATCTGCTGCTCATTAAAGGTTTGGTCTGAATTTGCCATTTGGCCATTCATACTTGCTAATGCCCTTCACTCAGAGAGTGTGGCTGTTGCACAAATTCCAAGGAAAAACATTTTCCAAGTAACACAATAAATCACAATGGTACATGTTTTTCTTTCCTACAGAAAGCCCATTATGGTCATTTTGTCCTTGGTCTATCACTGGCATCATTACTTATGCTAGTCTCCTCGGAAAAAAATAAATAAAAAGGGGATCTTATCAAAGTGATTTACTTGTGTCAGGATTGGAAGTGGACTGAAAGCAATGGCAGTTCCTACATAGAGGATGATATAATTGAATTACTGCCTTTTAAGTGATTGAAAACAGTAGGCATATCGGGGCTATCTCAAAGAAGATTTTACAAGGAAAAAGACAGATGGCATTGTTTACATTATGTGCTGAATGCCTTTTGAAACTTTTTTTTTCCTGAAGCAGAATGTGAAATGCAAAGAATTTTACTTAACCAAAAAGACTATCTCAGATAAATACAGAATAACAGAATAATGAATTAGACCAGTGTTGTCTGAGTGATCTAGATACCAGTCTATAAAAATATTCATAACCAAAGAATTACTAATCTTTAAAGGTCTGAAAAATAAATGATTCAGGTGAATGTCTGTATTGTCTCTATTGACTTTATTTCTAGTAAAGGTCTGCGTATAACGATAGGCATTACAGCATGTAATAATATCCTGATGCAACAGAAACAATGCAGGCTCTAGTTTTAGTGCAGTGGGCCAAATTAATCTCTAAAATATTGGATCCAATGGCAGTTTGGGGATAAACTCACCCCAATAAATTTACATTTGAATTACCTACAGGGATTTAAAGCTAAATCAAATGCCCACAATTATTGCAGACTAAATTCTTTCCAGATGGGTTTGTATGCTAGACAGAGAACTCTATTATTCTGTATGGTTGTCCTCTTTTAAAGGAAAAAGAGGAATGACTTCTTAGTGAACCCTGAATCTGCAAAGTTCGAAACCAGGAAACTCTGTGGTAGGTTTATTTGTTTATTTTTAATGTTGTAATGTTGCAGATAGTACGCTAAAGGTTTTAGAAAATTAATCTCATTCATTGGCACAAGAAGCAAAGGTGTTTGTGGCAGAAGGAATGGTCTAATGAGGAAACTTGGATCAGGGAAACCTACTAATTTCACAAAAGCTGGGATTTCATATTCAAAACTGTATATGCTTATCCTGCCTAACCATCTTGGTTTACACTGTAATGACAACATGCCTACTAATTTTTTTATTTTAGAGGCTGAGGCTGTGATTCACATCATGAATGCAAAGCATTGAGATTCACACCAGAATTTAGGCACCTGGCCCCCACAGCTTTCAGGTGGACACTCTTCTCTCAACATACAACACATGCTGCACATAAACCTCCAAACAGACCTACAAAATGCAAAAGGCTGAGCAGGAAACCACCTAAGTGTGCAGTAGGAAATGATGGAAAACAAGAAGTGGTGTATTTTCTCCACTCATGAAGTATAGTTATCCCACCAAGCACTGTTTCTTCTACCTAGAAAAACACGAGCTGAAGTCTGCACTCAGGTCTCCCCCATCCTGGACAAGTGACCTAAGTTAAGGGATAATCTTTCCTTCCCTTTGTGTTTCAAAGGAAAGTGGTAGTGGCCTCTGCACCATGCTCAAATATTTCATGCTCAGAGAACGCCACCCGGAGATCAGGTCTGCTTAGAGAAGAAAGGGGTTGCAACTCATCTAATCTATGGAAACGTGGAGTTTCCCACATAGGTTGGAAACCCTTTAAAGACAGAGGTGGTTTAGGACTTTCACCAGAGTAAATGCATAGGAGGAATGAAAACTTTAACACCACAATTTAAGTGCCTGTGAAATCTAGTTCAAAATGCAGGAACAAAGCTGGCTATCTGGAACGCACGTTCCTGCTTATACCTTTTTGTCAAGCAGGGCCGAAAGGACTTAAATCTCAAAATTTTCCTGAAAATTCTGTTTATGGAAGTGTGAATTGTTTAGGATATCCAGAATATGGTGCTCTGTAGAGTGGACCAATAAAATAAATTTTTTTAAGTCCCAAAATATTATAATAATAATAATAATACTAAGAGGGAAAGACATTAATTTAAACCTCTGGCTTTATAGTTCTATATGCCACATCTTCAGATACCTCAGTGTGGTTCAAATGAAATAATTGTATAAATTACTGAATGATAACTCAATATTTACCATTTTATGATTCTGCTCAATAATAAATATTAACAAGTGAAGAGTATGGTGGAGTTTTTTTAAAGCTTTCCTTCATGTTTTTTCAGAGCTGATCCACACTAAACTGGCTGAAGAACAAAGTGACTTCCAATTACTCAGTGCTCAACTTCTGTATTTCTGTTAGTTTGTGATCAGACACTTGTTATCTAATACTTGGACCTAACAATTTTTACCTTTTAATGTGTCTTAGAACTCCAAAATTTCTTCTATTAGCAATAAATTAGCAATAAACTTTGTTTTGAGAGATCACAAGCTGCCAGCTGGACCAAGGAAAGATGTCTTCTTTCTGTCAGAATCTTTTGTGTGGTCTACCAGATTGCTCTTCAACTCACAGATACCTTGTAAGTACCCAGAGAAGGGGGAAAATGCATACATAGGCATAATATATTACTATGATTAACCTGTGCTACATGTACAACTGGATAATAGCAGCAGATGACAGGCTGGAGAAGAGCAAGTTAGGGGCTGAAGCTATTTGAGAAAAAGAAGAAGGAACTGTGTGCCAAATGGAGAGGAAATGGAGAGGAAAAAACTAAGCTTATATTGGCTAGCATTGGAGAAGATGCTGAGGCAGGACAAATGTGAGGAGAGGTAACGCGGAAAAGGAGCTCAGGCTGATCCCAATGATCTGCATTCTGACAGAAGCACACCTTGAGCCCAGGCCTCTCAATAAACTTCTGCTTATTATGAACAAAGCACTTCCCTCCTTTGTGCAAGAAATAAAATGGTGAATTTTGAATGAGGAATCAAAGGAAGTGAAGGGTTGGGAGAATTTTATCAATTAGCAAGGTTTTAGGGTACACAGGAAGCATCTTGCCATTCTGCAGGTTTTAACCTCTTGACTGAAGATTTCACTCTTGTCCCTGCTGACAACTGATTTCAAAACTAAACTTCCAGCTAGGGATGCTTTATGTCTTGCCTCTACAAGTGGAGTATTTGGTCTTGTTTACTTAACAGTGCCCTGTATGTACAGAGTAGTCTCAGAGGATCAAAAGTAGATAGGAAAATCCTGATGTAGCTGACAAATTATTCATTAACACTTTACAGACCAAACCCAAGATCTTGCCACGGATATGGGAGACGGTAGAAAACAGAGCTGACTTGGGAAGCAGCTGAAGAGCGAGGCCCTGCGTGAGGATGCTCACTTCCTTTTGCTGTCAACCCAGATTACAGAAGTTCTCTCGGGAGATGGTAAAGTCCCAGATTACCCTGAGCAGGATCTTTAATCAAGATGAAAGAACAGTGCTTCTTTGTAGGTGGAAGCAGGCTCTCTTTGATGCTTCTTCATGCCATTTTTTCTGCTCCGTTTGCTGTTACTCTGCTTCAGCTGTGCATTCACGGCAGCCTGGTGATCACCATGACTCTGATTCTGAAGCACATGACCACAAGCCCTGCTGATGTGGAAGAGGGCTCACCTGGCCACAATACACTGTCAACACTGATACTGCTACATGCCTGCATGCACCTGAAGCTATGGATTTTCCTGAACTTGGCAGAGAGTGCACCCAGGGGATGGAGGCAGGAAGCCTACCTTCTCCCTTTGGGATGAGGAAGCTTAAGGCAATATATTTGGGTTTTGGCAAAAGGTGTTAGAAAATCTAATCTAGAACTAGCTTGCTGGAGCCAGGCCTGGGTTAGTATCCATCTTAGATCTATACCATGGCTCCAGAGAGGATGGACTTGATTTAACAGGCAGCCACTCATTCCACTGGGAGCCAGGTTCAGCCTCCTTTGAAGACAATGTGCAAAAGCCAGGCTGTGGTGAGAAGGAGCCGGTGGCAGAGCCAGGCACTCTGAACTCACATCTTCTGCAGAAGTTACTGTCTTGGGAATGGCTACAAGAGGTACAAATTTCAGAGCAG